AGGTTGATAGACATTTGTGTAGGACCCTTTACCACTAGCTGTTGGATGTGGTGTGAAAACTTAGTGGCTTCATTGCTTTCTTTCATTGTAGATGACTGTAGTTGAGGCTTATGTCGGCGACAAGAAAATTGATCCTCCTGACAGCAGCTCACAATTATCTCAGACACTAACCTCATTGCTTGTTGAAGGCATCGCACAGAACTCAAATGGTAGTGTTTTCACTCCGGAGGTAAGTCTATTGGTGTCCATTATAATTGAATGATATTATGCAATCAGAAATTTTTAATGAATTACCTGAGTATTCTCCACACAATTTTATCTTGATGATCTTTTCTTAGGGTGGTGGAGATGTGGAGGTTTCTGGGTCACCAACAGAGAAGGCAATTCTTAATTGGGGAATCAAGGTTACATTTTTAATTTTAACATCATCTCACCAACTACTTGCTGAATGTGTCTCTGTCTTTCATCTTTTTAACTTGTCTAGTTTTTTAATTTTATTTGCAGCTTGGTATGAAATTTGATGCTGTCAGAAAGGAGTCATCTATCATTCATGTTATCCCATTCAACTCAGAGAAAAAACGAGGCGGTGTTGCTATACGATTGGTAATGTGACTTATAGTTGTCTTTCATGAGTAGTTTGGTACTGATGCTTGTACTTAAAGGTCTTCGTTGCATTTTAAAGGCTTTTTGTTGTCAGTTTGTGTTCAGGTTTTATCCGTATTATCTTCTCAACATACAAATTTCTTTTAGTTGTTAAGAAGATGATAGTAATTTCTTAGCAAATGATAGTGATTTTGTTGATCTGTTTTAACACTGACAACATTAGCTTTAAAGAATCACAGCAGAACAGCAGAAATAACTATTTCCGTTTTAAAACTTTACCAATGGGCAAGGGCTTTGCCTAAAGATTAAATCTGTAGTATAGAGTTTAATAAATTAATAAGTGGGCTTGGCCATCACTTCAGTTTTGTAGTGATAAGCATTACAAATTTGTAGTAGTTTATCTATCAAATATAATTTTTCATGCTATAAAATTTAAGAGAGTTTCTTCCTGTTGCTCTTACAACTGAACTGTCTTTTCTTCCAATGGTATTGATGGATATATTTTTTTGCTGTCTGTAGCCGGACTCAAAAGTGCATATTCACTGGAAAGGAGCTGCTGAAATAGTGTTAGCTGCATGCACACAATACCTTGATGCTAATGATAACTTGTTAGCAATAGATGAAAACAAGGTACGAGTATTGCATCTGTTATGATATGATCATGTGAATACTATAATTTGGAAAATAGTTAAGTAATTTCTGTCTCTTTTTCTTCTTGAGTTAAATTGTGGTTTTCCCAAAGTATCTGATTTCAATTTTAGCTTGACTTTCTTTTCAGTGTAGGAGTTTTGGCTTTTGTTTTAGGTGTCTTAATATCCTGCTTGATCAGATTTACTGATATGTATCTATCTTGATTTGCAGGGGGCATTTTTTAGAAATGCTATTGAAGATATGGCTACTCATAGTTTGCGTTGTGTTGCTATTGCGTATAGATCATATGAAAGTGAAAGGGTTCCAACTGATGAAGAAGAACTTACTCGGTGGGCTTTACCTGAAGATGATCTTGTTTTGCTGGCTATTGTTGGTATAAAGGTATACATACCATCAGACTTTGCCACTTATGCTGGTGGTTATATGTTTCCATACTTCTCTATGTTAGACTTTGAGAAGACATTGGAGAGTTTTTTCTTTTGCCTTCAATTTTGAGACTCAGGACAGATATTTTTCTTGTGATATCTTTGTTAGTACATCATGCCAATGTGGCGTGATTCAATCTTTGCTCTGGCGGGTATAGTTGTTTTACTTTTGAAAGTTCAATTTGGTGTCATTGTAAACAGATTTCTGTTTTAGCTATGTCACTGTTCTAATTAGTGTTGTTACTTATCTTTTACCTTGAAAATTATTCAGGATCCTTGCCGACCGGGTGTAAGAGATTCTGTGCGGTTATGCCAAATTGCTGGTGTTAAGGTATGACTTTGCTATCTATTGTCCAAACTGTTTCTGTATGTGATCCTTTAGTTTCTTTACATTATGATACAGAGTTCCTCTTATTGTTATTCCTATTAACTCTGCTAACAATAATGGAATGTTGATGTTATGTGATGTCAATAGTTAAATTTGGGGTCATTTGTCCAACCCAGTTGGTTGGAGGGGCAATTTGTCTTTGGCCTTTTAGTTTTGGAATGCCCAAATCTACCCCCTCAACTATGGTGGTAGGGACAAATCCACCCCTCAACAAAAAAAGGGTTAAATCACCTCACCAACTGATCAAGTTGGACAAATAACCCAAAAATTGATGGGTGATGTTATTTTCTGTTAGCTTTTCGTTAGCCCTAAGACTGGCTGTCAATTTTTGAATGCTGGAATTTATGTGGCAACTTTTTCCTATTTTTTGGTGACAATATGGCAAGTGGATCCATTGAAAAACATAATAAAAAAACAAAACAATAGTGTATTTCCTAAATTAGCCTTCACACCACCTCAAATTTTCGAAATGAGCCATTATTTCAATGTCAAAATCAGTTTCACAATTAAATTCAAATGAAAAATTTTCACCTCCTGAAGGATTCTGTGTGTATTTTTTGAGGAAATTTGGGAAACTTGTAACTTGAAACCATGAAATAATTGAAAATATCAGCCAGTAACTTGTGATATAGAGTCATCATCTTCTTCCCTCTTTTCCAAAATGGCAAAATCCCATTAATAACTTTTGCAACATTAGAACTAAACTCCCTAACAGTTAAATCAATTTTTAAAGAAATTGTCAAGATTAGAGGATGCATGGAATCAAAGATTGGGCAAATTCCCAAATCGACAATGAAGAAGAAATTATGTTTCTTTGTCCTTGGGAGGAGTGTGATTTTGTTTCTAAAAACCAGATCTGCAACTGGTGGAAAAAATTGCTAGTTTCAAACTTTTAACCCAAATCTCCCAAATTATGTTCCTGTATATAGGAAGCTATCGCTGGAGCTTAAGCTCTAAGGAAAATGGTCCCCAAAGAATCCCCTTGTAGAAATAGATTGATTCCAGCCGGAGGAGTTTCTAAAAGAGTTGTACCCAATGGCATCCTTTGCCCAAGAGAGGTGAAGTAATCCACTTACAAGTTTCCTTCTCAGAGTGTATGTGGAACAATACAAGCAACAAAGCTATCAATCATTGAGAAAATGTCATGAAGCAAAACCAAGGCACTACCTTCTGCCACCTTATGAGCCTGAATCATCTGGACCGATAAGAGTGAATCCATTTCCAGCACTAACTGCAGAACTCCAATTGAATGGGCTAGTTTCGGTCCGTCCTGACATCCCCAAAGTTCAGCATTATAACTGGTACTGCAGCCTATGTGAACATAGAAACCATGCACCCAACATCCCTAAGGATCATGAATCTAGCCACCTGCAGATGCCCTACCAGTAGCATGATCAACTGAACCATCTGTGTTAAGTTTAAGGAAGACCCATCTAGGATTTCGAGGTGGAGCAATCACATTAGCACCCAGAGCCTTTCTAGTATCTAGTGCTAGATATTGAGCCTTCATATACCCTGCATTAGGCAAGGTTCTTTGATTTTCAAAAACCACGAAGTTCCTGCTCTTCCAGGTACACCAAATCAAGGAGAGAAAGAGAGCTTGCCAATCATTATGATGTGGTTTTGCTAGTCTCACCGGTATTTTATTTTCTGTCAGCCGGGAATCAAAATCTTGTGGGAAGAAATCTGGCAGTAGCGCATTGGTAGCTTCCCACACTAACCTTGAAAAATAACAATCACGTAAGAGCTGGATTGGAGCGTCTGCAGCTTATTCGCAACATGGGCACATTGGCATGGGCGACACATGATGATCAAATGAACTGAATTTGTTAGAACTCTCCCCCTCTGCAAGAGCCACACAAAAAATTTTATCCTTTCTAAACATGGTAGCTGCCATATCCAAGACTGTTGCCTTGTATTCTGGGCTGTTGGAGCACGTTGAGACTGCAGCATGGAGAATGCGGGTCTAATAGTGAAGTTACCGTCTCATGAGCCATGCCAAAAGATGCTATCATCCAATTGACTTACCATTGGGAGCGGAATTGCATTAATGAGGCAGATCACATGCTCAGGAAGATAGGGGCTTAGCTTATCAGTGTCCCATTCCTTATTATCATCAATGACTACAGCTACAGAATCCTTCAGAAACTGTTGAGGTATCGGAGACTCTGCAAGGTCCAAAAGCCTGGTGTTGCCTACTGAAATATCATGCCATAGCTTGATATTTTTTCCAAAGCCTACATGCTAGCAGACACCAAGTTTGAGCACGTCTTGGCACCTAAGTAAGCTATTCCAAGTTATGTTCCTTAATACCTATTGGAGGATGAGTGATTTTGTTCCCAGAATTCAGATCGCCGTTAATGCAAAGCCCTCAGCTCATATGAGCTCTCTTTTTTCCCTTTTATTTTTTTATTTTTTGACAACCTCATAGTTGCTTCGGCATTGGAGCCAGTTCATGCTGCCATCATCTGCTGGCCTGCTGCTGATGTATCATCATCTTCACTG